TTTGAAATTCCATTTGTAAACAACATTGTTATTTAGATCGAATCATATTAAGGGGGGGGCGTACTATCTGTTGATGGGGGCGCTGTTCAAAACCGACGATTCATGATGCACACTAACGGACAATTATGTTGTTTTAACGGCGACACATGCACGAAATTAACCCCAAAAAATTACCCGCAACGGCTGATGGCACCAAAAAGGCCACCACTTACTTTTGAAAAGGGCACTTGCTCAGAAAAAAAGGGGCACTTGCTAAAAAAAGGGCAATCTTTGCAAAATATTGGGGGGGGGGGGGGTAAGCGCTGGACAGGTGAAAAAAGGGCATTAAAATAGAAAAGGGGCGTCTTTACAAAACAAATTTGGAGGGGGGTAAATACCCCCCTTAGCCCACCATTCCCCCCCCCCCCCGGCTACGCCTATGCACAAACACCGTACAAGAGTCGCCCAGGCACGGATCCAGGGGGTTTGAGATCAACTCAACCCAGCTCTGTGAGATAAAACAAAATGTACACAGAAATTACGTTAAAATGATGTAACCCCGCCCCTTTCTCTCCGACACCCAACAAAATTATACTTGTTTATCGTCCGACTGTCCACAAAATACACACAGAGGCAGCTCGTTTAGGTAGTGTAAATAATCGTCGGATTTGAACAGCACCCCCATTGAAAGTATGGAGCTAGCTATAATATACATTACCGATACATCTGTATCCCCCCCCCGTATAATATTGTTTATGGCGTTTCTTACGTCAATTGGAAATTACGCCATTAATAATGGTAGTCATATTGATCGAACGAAAATTTATTTGGATTACATTCAATTATCAAATATTCATTGATTTAAGACATTGACCTTTGTTTCGTTTTTAATATTACCGTAGACCTGCCGAGCAGATGTAAACATCAAACTAAACCAAAGTTTAAAGGGAATGTACATCATTGGCTTTGGCTGTAATTTTCAGGTACGAACTATATTTGAGAGGTTAGTATAATAGATCAAATAATGTTACACAGACGTGTTTGAAGTTTTGTCTTCGAAAATGCTGGAAAACCAAGAAAAACAAAAATGCTAAAGTAGTCTGGTTCCCTAACTCCACTAAAGATGAAATGTATCAATTTGTAGATGCCGGAACATTGTAAGATAAGGGAACTAGTCTAGCTAGCCTGCACCTATTCATTGAACATGTAACCAATAGCAAACAAAATTTGGACGGAAAAAGGTTAAATCTAGAGCAGTAGCTGAAAAATAGTTAGGTTTTTCTAACGGTATACAAAATACCATTTTCTTGAAAATGACTTTACACGAGGTGCCATAATTTTACAGGATGCTTTAGACTGTCATTTACCAACATCGTAGTAACTTATTTCGTAAAAACATAATAGTTTATTTTTCGATGTTTGCAACTGTTTTATTAAAAAAAAAAAAAAAAAAAAAAAGTTATGTGCTAGCCAAGCATTCAGGGATCGGTCTGAGCCATAACAATGCCCCAGCCAATCCCTTAGTACTCTTCTGGGATCTCGGCGTTCCCGGCCAATACACACCTCCTTCCCTGTCCATCCATATAACCCCAGAGGACCAGGCGTCATGTAAAAGCAAAGAGCTAAGGGAGGAACAGGGCGGCACCCTAAGCCCTGATCCTCCGAGTAGACCACATGCCCTGAACCTGTACGAAGGCGCCAACCTGGAACTCACGGACAATACCAGCCGCAGTGCTTACCGATTAAGCTAAGGTACAGTTGGTATTTTACGACGGGAAATAAGATATCTTATAATGACTGAATGCGTGCGTTGAAAAGCAAAAAGGCAACGACGGGATTCGAACCCGGGCTCCGCGATTCGTAGATAAGAATCTAACCGCTAGGCCATTTTGCTTCCTATGAATTCTTGTTAAAAACAATTTGACTAATAATAGGCGGAGAAACGTGAAACATTGCTGTGTTGCCTGTGTGCATCTGTTTTGGCTCAATGGACGAAAAGAATTCGACATTTTGGGCAATAAAGAGTCAACTGTTGTTATTTGCGGCTGTATCGTTAGTCGTAGGCCGATACGTGTGCCTAACATACTTATCATTACTACATGTATATGCAACAATGAACACCGTAGGTTTTTTTGGAAAAGGCTGAGGTGCGTACAAGGGCAGATCCACGATTTTTTTTGCGGGGGGGGGGTGGGGGGTTTCAGGCCCGTCAGATGTTTATATCCGATTGTTGCAGATAGGCGGACCGTGTTATTGTTACAAGAATGATGTATTTTTTTATGGGTGAAAACAGTCGGAGTCCACAGTCCGCCAGCCACCGCCGGGCGGACCACCGGTGACCGCGGGGAGCGGCTTATTGGCATATTATATCGGCACGCCAACCCAAACTATCAGCTGCGGTCCGCCTAGTAATAGGCTATTGGCATGCCACCAGTGGCCTGCAACTCCAAAGCCGCTAGCGGACCACCATCGGCAGTCAGCGGCATAGCACAAGTGGCCTGCCGCTAAAAACCCGTCAACGGACCACCAGCGGCAGTCAGCGGCATACCACCGGCGGTCTACCGCTCCAAAACCGGCAGCGGCAATCAGCGTTCGCTGTTCCCAGGCCCATCATTCTCCAGCCTGTAATAAATCGTTGTTTTACTGAGCAAACAATTGTGCAAACAGTGCGTTCTTCGATTCTTAATTAAAAAACAACAACATAAAAACGGTAGTGCGAATATAACATTAACCGCACGACACCAAATTACACAATGTTTGTAGTGGGCGCTGTTCATGATGTCCATCTTTATTTAATGTATAGCGCGCGCTTCGCTCGTACCGTACCCCCTCCGACCACCCAGGATCCTGACAAACAGGGCCCAGGGTGTTGGGCGGGAAGGGCTGATGAGCAAGTTCACGGAATATTGTGGGGATCACTGATCATGACCTTATTATAAAGATGGTCAGAGCATAGAGCAAGGAAAAGAGGTACGGCCGCCCGTCGAGGCAAAATTGAAAATATTTTCAACGTGCAGTACGTGTTTTCACAATCATTGTAATTAAAAACGTCCACGCCTTCTCAATAATACTCCTTTCCTTTCCAATGAGCTCATATTAATATGAAATGTGATACTGCATAATTGGCGGGCTTGTAACATGTTAACTTCGAAAACAATCGTGTTTTCGTCACTCACTGCGCAAATTGGTTCTTTTTTCACCCTGACACCGCATACAAAATCAAACGCTAATGTAACACACAGGCAGGTACCAGACTATTCATTATTTGCATACTTGTTCAAAAATCTTGCACATGCAAAATAAATGATCCAACTCGGGTAAGAGAGCAGGTAGTGGTGGGCGCGTACTGCTCGACACCCTGGGGACAAGGTTGGATATAGGGTGCACCCAAGCATACAATCGCATGCTTCAAAATTCGATTTAATTCTCAAAACTGTCACATAGGTGTGGATCAGGCTGCAAAAAAATTGATGATCGAACTGTCATCGTTCATTTTCCGTTCAGTTAAGGAAAACAGTTTTCAAACATATCATATCTGAGCGCAGGCCAGTATCTTTGGGTGGAATCTTCTCCCTAAACTCACCGGTTAACCCCAACAAAATGGACACCAACACCTAACCTTTATCCGACCTTTAACCCCAGCCCCAAATGTAAACACCCTGACCAAGAGCGTCAATCGCTTCTCAAAAGTGTGTGTGTGTGTGTGTGGGGGGGGGGGGGGGATACCTTGATTATAGAGCTAATGCAAGCGCGAAGTGCGAAGCCCTTAAACAGCGTGGGGTACGGGGCCCGCTTAAGGGCCCCAAATCATTTTGGATTCTAGACGCTCTGTGGTGCGATATGAGGCGATTTCTAGCCAATTTAACCAGTCTTTTTAGCAAGAGAATGTCATTTAAACATCATTTTTGAGTTTGGAGTCACTGAATCAGCTATTCTGAGCTATAGAATCATATATATACACTTTTTATTCAGGGACGAAAAAAGTGTGTGTGTGTGGGGAGGGGGGAATTGATAAATGATATTGAGTAGGGGGACTGCGGGGGACTTTCCCCTCCCCGTCCCCCACCCATTGACGCCCATGACCCTGACCTGCCAGAAATTAGAATATCAAAACATACGAAATTGGAAACTGAATGAATGATACTATATGCAGGGATTTTAATACCAAAGCGATTACAGTTTTAATAATCATGATCAAAGATTTAAGAACTTGTGAGAATTCGTTTATTTTGACGACAAACGATTTCAAATTTGCAGTTTAACGGTAAAAAAGTTGTAGTTTCCTAAATATGGTATCAAACTAGAAGTTAATAAAATAATTTCATTTGGAATATTATAAAGTAATCCCATTCGATGGCAGCTTCTATTAACAAATGACGATTCCAGTCAGTTGAAAAGCACCCCTCACCCAAATAGGCTTTGCGCGTCGTGTTAATTAAATCGTTAAGCTTGTTTCTGTACCATGCATACAGGCTCACACTTTCACTAGTGTTTTCACAATGAGTTTCTTGAATGCAATTAAGTAATGCTGGTTGAGAACAACAGGAGCCTTCAAATAATTGACAGTCTTTTAAATATAAAAAAAACACTTGCCTCACTTTTTGCGGATTTAAACTATGCAGCCTTTTTCCCCCATTATTTTTGGCATCTTTCTGATTCAGAAAATGAGAAAAGTTATTGACTATTTGTTTCTCAACTACATTTACATAAACGTTTTTGTTTTCACCACATGAAGTCCACCAAAAGTATTAATCGAAGATGGTGTGTTTTTGTAATCATTAGAATGAGGCTTTGTACATTTTTTTTTCATAGTCGGTCGGTTAATAACATTTTTTTTTTTAAAGTTCACACTGTCGCAAATAATGCATCCATTTACAGATCTGCGCATGTGCAGTGGATTATTTTGTGACATTGACAAGTATTTATTTTCATATTTTGGTTATAATTTCGGCAAAATAAAAGCGATAAACGTACAGTGAAATCTTAAGTCAAACCTCAAGGGAACAGGTTCAAAATTTGACTTAAGCAGCTAGAGTTTTGAGTTAAGCAGGGTTGTATATCATTGTTATACTACTGAACGAAATGGATTCTTTGTTTGGCTTTAACAATTGTTTCGATTTATTAGAGTTTGACTTATCAAGATTTCACTGTATCAGCAACACGATGTTCGTTTATCTTCATATGTGGTACAGGAGGAAGCCACTGAATGAGGTGTAGTGAGCGACGGGTTCACTGTACACCGGCCCACCGTTCATGGTGAGATATACCGTGTCTCCTCGCTGCAGAACCAGCACCGCGCTCCCAGACACCTGCTCATAGTGATTCCCATCATTGCTAAGGCCAGAGACAACAAACGTGCCGTTCTTCACGAGAAAAACGTACATTACGCTGCTGGGACCATTTTTGAGAACAGAAAACGTAAACACGTAGGTACCCGGTACACCGCACGTGAATGTGCCATTCTCAAGATCGAAGTTGGTACCCGGCAGAAGCGTTTCGAATTCCTCAAAGGGCAAACGGGTGTTGTGACTCGTGGAGGTAAACGCGTTGCTCGTCCTCACCGCGGTGAATGCTACCCGCTGGTTGGAGTTTTCTGGGGTCTCCCCTGGCTCGCCCTTTTGACCTTTGACACCAGTCCGACCAGTTGCTCCCACTAAACCCGGTAGGCCTATGGCGTCGTCCCCTTTCGGCCCAGTGTCACCTTTAAGGCCAATAGGTCCGATCTCCCCACGTTGACCCGACTCGCCTGCATCACCCTTTGACCCAGGAGGTCCAGAGTTTCCCATCTGACCTCTGACCCCAGGTGCTCCTCGCTCACCCAGAGGGCCATACGGCCCAATGTCTCCTTTTTCCCCCGGCCGACCTGCATCGCCCTTCAACCCTTGTAACATTCCTACAATTGCAGCTGTTCCCTGGCAGGACGTTTGACATGCTTCAGTCGCAGGACCATCACCGTCCGAAGGAATTGGCCCAGTAGTAACGGCAGCTCGGAGCTCGACAGAGTTACCCAGAAAGAGTGCGACTGCAATAACGGTGGCCACACCGATTTTCATTCTGTTCAGACAAAAACAAGTGCGATTGCACAATAAGCTGTGGCCGTATTGCATGAAAGTCTGACATGAAATGATACAATAACTGCTCACTTGGTCGTGATTGTCAATTGAAATAAGAATTTCCCATTATGTTGAAAGTCACAATGCAAAATGACAGCGACCTTAATAATCTTAATAATGCAACTGTATCTTCACCCTATGAGCCATGGAGACTCGTAAAACTGACAAAGGGCCAGATGCAGTGGTGATGTAAAGTCACGGGTGTGTAGCGCGCATTATCCACGTGAACATTAACCACATTATCTTGCCTCCATGCACAAAATTCAACCAACCGACCAACCGACACAAAGTGACTTGTGGAAGCTCAGTTGCCAGAGTATAAACAATTATGATGAAACTAAATAAATCAGGTGCGAATGGGTAAAAAAAAAGAGTAAAGAAATAGGGAAGAGTACGTGGAGAACAATATAGAGGCCAGACAAACTGGAGAATAAGTCTTAAACTCGTGATAATCCGCCGTCCGATTTGAAAAGAAAAGAGATTGGAGAAACCGTAATTGTTCAGTTAATGTGTGCTTTGTAAAATAACAGTGGCGATCGGGGGCGAGAGGCCCTCCGATACAATTTAGGTAAGGTCACTAAATTGCATGCCGATAGGATGAAGCGTTGCGCGTGCGGAGCTATGATATTTATTAATTTTTTTAATTTTTTTTTTTGAAGGGGGGGGGGGGGAAGAGCACATCTTGCCCCTTCCACGGTCCTGATACAATCATTGATATTAAACATCATCACACCCACCTTGATGGTTCGTTCTTGAAGATCAGGTCCAACAAGAGATTACAAGGAGTTGAGTGAGGGCTGAAAAACATACAAACAAAGACAAGTTACGTTTATACTCTGGTAAGGAATTAAGATAAATTGGTGAGTTTATCCTCATATTAATGCATCGCAATCCAAAAACAGGACAATTTACCTACGGTCAAGTAATTGAAATAATAGGTTTTCCCGGCCCCAAAAAAGCAAACTATTTTAATGGCACATTGTTCGATTTCTCACAAAATTGACTGATGCTTGAAATCAGCATTCACTTTTTCAATAACGTTTTTAGTGAAACGTTTATTCAAATGGCCTGCATCTACTTAGAAAGCAGTAGTAAATCATTCAAATAGTGTTGTCAAGCTTTTGTTGTGTACACTTCCAGGCATGCCTGGATTACCCAACAGGCACAGTAGGCACTGTGCCTATAGGGCCACGAAAACAATTCGGGGGCCTACGACAAATTATATAGTCTATGTAATAGACCATATGGCCCTGGCGTATATAGACTATTTCCCGCCCCCCTAAAAATATTTTAAGTCTGAAGGACAATGGGGTCAGGGAACCAGACTAACCCTGGCGACGCCGACTATGGCGTGTCAAACGTTGCAATATTCAATATTTTGCAATATATATGTTGGATGTTCATTATGTGTCTGTCATCTTTTACATTTATGTGCGATGTTCAATATAAGTGTGCGATGTTTTTCATCATTTGCGCGATGTTGAATATATTTGTGCGATGTTTTACAATATATGTGCGATGTTCAATATATGTGTGCGATGTTTTACATTTATATGCGATTTTCAATTTATATGTGCGATGTTTTTGACGATATATATGTGCGATGTTTTCAATATTATGTTCGATTTTTTTGCATTAAATGTGCGATGTTTTCCAATACAATTGTGTGTGTTGTTTTACAATATATTTGCGATATTCTCAAATATGTGAGCAATGTTTTACACATATGTTTGACATTTCGAGCTATTTGTATTCGATGTTTCATCGGTATGTTTGCATTCGATCTTTTGCAATATGCATTTGATGTTTCGCTTTTCATTCGATGTTTCGTTAAGAGTCAAAGTCTGGTTACTAGACCGCGAAAGTCTGACTATTTTGCCTTAAGTCAGTGTATGAGACGTCAGGGGATCGCGTGAAGTAATTAGAGCCAGACCTAAACGGTAAAAACCGGAATTGTGGGTAATTCTTTAAGCATACGCAATGCGTTCATCATTGTTTGGGCAGTACCCCCAGCTGTGCCTGTACTACCCATAGTGTTGTGTGCATCATCTATGCATTGAGGAGTGCATGACACATGGTCTGAGCTCCAAGGCCGATGTGCACCTGTCCCAGTTACCTGATAATTTGTTAGCATAAGCTGATGTAAAATTGGGCAAAATTAGATGTTTATGGACAAAATCAAACTGTAAGGGGTTAACCTTGCATTTTTTTTTAGCGAAATCGGAAAAATCAGATGTTTCTGGAAAATTGCAGATTGTATGGTGTTAGATGTTTACGAAACATTTCAAATTGTAAGGGGTGAATATTGCATATTTTAGCGAAATTTGGCAAAATCAGATGTTTCCGAAAAAATTCAGATATAAGGGATTAACCTTGCTTTTTTAGTGAAATTTTGAAAGGTTAGAAGTTGCGAAAACTTTCAAATTGAAAGGGATTAACCTCGCATTTTTTTTTAAAGCGAAAATGGGAAAAAATCAAATGTTTTTGGACAATTGCAGATTGTAAGGGGTTAATCTTGCTTTTTGAATAAGATTGGGAAGAATTAGATGTTCAATTCAAATTGTAAGGGGTTAACCTTGCATTTTTTTAAAGCAAAATAGGACACAATCAGATGATTCTGGAAAATTGCAGATTGTTAGGGCTTAACATTGTATTTCTAGCAAAATTGGGCAAAAAGAAATGTTTATGAAAAATTTTAAATTGAAAGAGGTGTACCTTGTATATTTAGTGAAATTTGGCAAAAGCAGATTTCTATGAAAAAATCTAAAATGGTAAGGGGTTAACCTTGCTTTTTTAGCAAAATTTGGAGCATATTTTACTAAAATTGGGTAAAATCAGATGCTTCTAAAAAATCCAGATGTAAAGTTTCCGCAAAAACAGCTGTTAAAAAAGAGCCCAATGTTGAACTATACTGAGTCTGAGGTATATCGAGGGAACGATCCTTATTTCAACTCCCGGAGATTCGCTGACAGTCTCTATTTTTCTTTTTAAGAAAGTGGAATAGCTGAAGAGGGAGGTGACGGAGTCTATATGTGCCCAGATACAAAGAAGAGAAATCTAAGCGTCTGCCTTTTGAAAATACACAATTGCGGTGTTCATTGTTGCGTAATGATCCGCCTACCAGCACACGACTGTTTTGCACATTAGGCTGCGTTATGCAGCTTCCTAACAAACCAAACACACTGGGCTCATTATATCGACTTGTTTTTACCCATTAAGGTAAAGCAAATGGACCCAGTAATCTTCCTGGCGCGTTTGCTCACCTATAAAGACAACTTTTCTCAGTTTAAGGAAAATTCTAAGGTAACGAAATGGCCGAGTGGTTACGATTCGTCGTCCACGATTAGCGGGGTCCCAGGTTCGAATCCCGCTGGTGTCTTTTTGGTTTTTAACGTATGAGTTCAATCATTTACTATAAGAGATTTAATTTCCCGTCGTAAAGTACCAACAGTACCTTAGCTTTATCGGTAAGCACTACTGCTGGTACTGTCCGCGAGTTCCAGGTTGGCGCCTTCGTACAGGTTCAGGGCATGTGGTCCACTCGGAGGATCAGGGCTTAGGGGCCGCCCTGTTCCTCCCTTAGCTCTTTGCTTTTACATGGTGCCTGGCCCTCCGGGGTTATATGGATGGATAGGGAAGGAAGTGTGTATTGGTCGGGGACGCCGAGACCCCGGAAGAGAACTAAGGGATCGGCTGGGGCATTGTTATGGCTCAGACCGATCCCTGAAAGCTTGACTAGCACATAACTTTTTGATTTTTTTTACCCTCTATCTTTTATACTTTGGTTTAGTTTGATATCTACAGCTGCTCGGCAGGTCTACGGGTAGTATCAAAATTGAAACAAAGGTGTATGTCATAAATCAATGAATGTTTCATAATTGACTATAATCAAAACGGAGTTTCGTTTGACCAATTGACGTAAGAAACGCCATAAATTATACCTGGAATAAATAAAGATGTACATTGTAATATAAATATTATTGATACATCTTTCAAATAACGTGTCTTTAATTGTAAGCATTCCAAACAATACAGTAAATCGTAATATTAATAGAATGGTATATGATAGCACGATCATTACGTCTCTATTAAATTAAAAAAATATAATTTAGGCCCCTATGTGTGAAATATTCTTTGATTGACTATGATCTTCCATACGAATGAGTTAATTCGCAAAATATAGCAACAACAAAAGAGAAAGGAAAAAGAGAACATTCCTTTACCCTAAAAACTGGAAATATAATTTGTTTTAAAAAAGTCAAATGGGACACTTCATGTATTGATTTAACAGTTTGCAAGGAGTTAGCCTTACATTTTTAGCAAAATTGGGAAAAATCAGATGTTTCTGGAAAATTGCAGATTGTATGGGATTAGATGTTTATGAAACATTTTAAATTGTAAGGGGTGAACCTTGCATATTATAGCGAAATTGGGCAAAATCAGATCTTTCTGGAAAATTTCAGATTGTAAGGGGTTAACCTTGTTTTTTTTAGTGAAATTTGGCAAAATAAGATGTGGATGAAAAATCAAAAATTGTAAGGGGTTAACCTTGCCAAATTAGGGCAAAATCAGATGTTTCTGGAAAATTGCAGATTGAAAGGGGTTAACTTTGCTTTTTTTTGTGAAATTTGGCAAAGTTGGATGTTTATGAAAAATTTCAAATTGTAAGGGGTTAACACTGCATTTTTGAAAACGAAATTGGGAAAAATCAGATGTTTTCGGAAAATTGCAGAATTGTATGGGGTTAACTTGGCATTTTTAGCAAATCTGGGCAATATCAGATTTTTATGAAAAATCTCGAATTGTTGCATTTTTAGCAAAATTGGGCAAAATGAGATGTTTCTGAAAAATTTCAAATGTAAGGGGTTAACCTTGCTTTTCAAATTGTTAGGGGCGAACCTTGCATTTTTTAGCATTATAGGGCAAAATCAGGTGTTTATGGAAAAAATTCAGATTGTAATGGGTTAACCTTGCATTTTTTGCAAAATTGGGCAAAATCAGATTTGTATGAAAAATCAAAAATTGTAAGGGGTAACCCTGCATTTTTGTAAACGAAATTGGGAAAAATCAGATGTTTTCGGAAAATTGCAGAATTGTATGGGGTTAACTCGGCATTTTTAGCAAATCTGGGCAATATCAGATTTTTATGAAAAATCTCGAATTGTAAGGGGTTAACCTTGCATTTTTTAGCACAATTTGGCAAAATGAGATGTTTCTGAAAAATTTCAAATTGTAAGGGTTTAACCTTGCTTTTCGAATTGTTAGGGGTTAACCTTGCATTTTTTAGCAAAATGGGGAAAAATCAGGTGTTTATGAAAAAAATTCAGATTGTAAAGGGTTAACCTTGCATTTTTAGCAAAATTGGACTAAATCAGATTTGTATGTAAAATCAAAGTTTGTAAGGGGTTAACCTTTGCCAAATTAGGGCAAAATCAGAAGTTTCTAGAAAATTGCAGATTGTAAGGCCAGGGGTTAACCTTGCTTTTTAGCAAAATTTGGCAAAATGAGATTTTTATGAAAAATTTCAAATTGTAAGGGGTTAACCTTTGCCAAATTAGGGCAAAATCAGGTGTTTATGAAAAAATTGCAGATTGAAAGGGGTTAACCTTGCATTTTTAGCAAAATTGGGCTAAATCAGATTTGTATGAAAAAAATCAAAATTGTAAGGGGTTAACCTTTGCCAAATTAGGGCAAAATCAGAAGTTTCTAGAAAATTGCAGATTGAAAGGGGTTAACCTTGCAAACCTTAGCCCAATTGGGCAAAATCAGATGTTTCTGAAAAAAAAATCTGATGTAA